GTATTTTGCTCGGCGTTAATCCGTCCAAGCAGCAAATGATATTATATCTATTTAATCATTCTAATGAAATCCTCGTGAACGGTGTACCATTCCGATAACACGTAATCGTTACCGTTATCGTCGATAATCTATTATACATAATGCAGACAAACAATCGCATAACATTCGAGATAAGAGGTCTCGATAAAGATTTCAACGAGTTCGTCACGCAAAGCACCACGTTTCTCGACACTGTTATTCATTTTCTACACCTTGCCATGATGAGAACCGTTTTACACTTGATCGCCTATCAACGGAATCGCCTAATTGTCGTTCTAGGGATTTACTTTTTATTTGCTTGTCTCATGTAAAGAAATTGATAAAAGTCCTCTTTGAAAGTTCGAACTTTCATGAGTTTTCACTTTTGAACGAACCAAATCTATAATATAAATCTAAAAAAGATATTAAAAATGTCCACCGTCTTAGAGATCTGACGAATTTTAAGCGTTCTCACGAGTCACGCTGTAAAGCATCATTCTTCTCGATGTTCCCGGTACGGTGTTATCGAGCAATTGGTTTTAAACGGTTTAAATTTCTTCTTCCAGCAAAAAAACTAACAACATGGTTGACCAGGCAGTTCTGGACAAGCTTGAAGCTGGCTTCAACAAATTGGCTGCATCCGACAGCAAATCCCTACTGAAGAAATATCTGACCAAGGAGATCTTCGATCAACTGAAGACGAAGAAGACTTCCTTTGGTTCCACTCTGCTGGATGTGATCCAGTCCGGTGTCGAGAACCTGGACTCTGGCGTCGGTATCTACGCCCCCGATGCTGAGTCTTACACAGTTTTCGCTGACCTCTTCGACCCCATCATCGAGGACTACCATGGTGGCTTCAAGAAGACCGACAAGCATCCACCAAAAGATTTTGGCGATGTTGACACCCTTGGAAATCTCGACCCTGCTGTTAGTATTAGAAACATAATTTCAAACTGATAAATACAGTCAGTGTAAGAAGTATTCGTAAAGCGACCAATTTATATTATAAATAAAATAAAATTAATAAGAAAAGAAATACATAAGAGGTTAACATTAAAAATGATAAACTTTAATTTATGCAAATTCTACTTTAAAAATATGTAGGAATGTTGGTTAATTATTTCTTCCTCTAAAATTTACTAATGAAATAAATATATGAAGTTTTATTTTGAATTGGTTCCTGTACGAATACTTATTACACTGACTGTACAATTACAATTAATGTATCGTAGTACAATTCATATTCACTTGCTATTACAGCGTAGCCTAAATCTTATGTTACACATAGTAAAGATACTTATAGCGAAGAGAGTATAACTGAACATAATTGAGGACATAATTTGAGTATAATTTTTGTAATGTGTGATTCACTCTTTTAGGGTGAATTCATAGTCTCTACTCGTGTGAGATGCGGACGATCCATGGAGGGATACCCATTCAACCCTTGCTTGACCGAGGCTCAGTACAAGGAGATGGAAGACAAAGTCTCCAGCACTCTGTCTGGCTTGGAGGGTGAACTGAAGGGAACGTTCTATCCCTTAACTGGCATGAGCAAAGAGGTTCAGCAGAAGCTGATCGACGACCACTTCCTCTTCAAGGAGGGTGATCGTTTCTTGCAGGCCGCCAATGCTTGCCGCTTCTGGCCCACTGGCCGTGGTATCTACCACAACGACGCCAAGACTTTCTTGGTATGGTGCAACGAGGAGGATCATCTCCGTATCATCTCTATGCAGATGGGCGGTGATCTTGGACAGGTAAACATCGACAGTACAGCCTCTTCCAAATGGAGTTAATACTTATGACGTCGAGTTGAGTTCGACCACGTGTTTGCTAAAATAAATTCTCACAAATAACCCTTCTCTTGCTACTTATGATTTTGTAATATTGAAAAGTTGTAAACCGTACGCAAAAAACAAGTTCATTTATATTGGAAACGTGAGCCGTATACATTAATGTATATATTAATGAATATCAGAAAAATGATTACAAAGTATCCAGATAAAGACACGTAAACGTTCCTGATTTCTTTATAGGTGTACCGTCGTCTTGTGAGCGCCGTGAACGAGATTGAAAAGCGAGTCCCGTTCTCTCACAACGACCGTCTCGGATTCCTGACCTTCTGCCCGTCGAATCTGGGCACCACGGTGCGCGCCTCCGTGCACATCAAGCTGCCCAAGCTCGCCGCCAACAGGGCGAAGCTCGAGGAGATCGCTTCTAAATTCAACCTCCAGGTCCGTGGTACTCGCGGCGAGCACACCGAGGCGGAGGGCGGCATCTACGATATTTCCAACAAGCGACGTCTCGGTCTCACCGAGTACCAGGCTGTGAAAGAGATGCACGACGGTATCGCCGAGCTGATCAAGATCGAGAAGGAACTTTAAAGCCACCACTAACCGACATCGCGACAATTTCCCTTCCCCCAGTTCACCCTTTAGACGTTCTTGACGCATCGAGGACCCTCTTGGACAAACGAAGCGAAGATACATCATCAGTGTTCGCACTGATCGCCGAAAGACGAACGAATGGAGAAGCGCTTCAAGTTGCTTGGAATAAAGGTTATTATTTCACGTTTGTTTGATCAAATTGTCCGAAAGAGAACACAAATTGTGTTCCAAGTAATAAGACAGAGAATGAAAAACGATTTCTAGAAGATTTCGAAAGGAGGACATTTTCGATCCACGTAGACGTGGAATTCAAAAAAATTGGAGCAAGATGTCCCAGCCCAGTCCTCGTTATTTTAGATGCCACTTTATTCGTCCTCGATGTGCCAAGATCTGTGCAGCTACAAGCGGGTTCTTAGAGTTCCAAGCAGGCGGCGGAATGCTCTGTTCGCGTCACGGAATCCAGAAGTCCGCGTGGTCGAATCGAAAGATCCGTTGTTGATGATTTCAGTTTCCAAAAGTCTGGAATTCGCGGTCGCGGACGGGTTGCTTCCGCTAGATTAGTATGTCTCCACGGTCTCCTCCCTCTTACACGTGTTATAATTATTATTACTCTTATTATTATTATTATTATTATTATTAATGTCTTTATTATTATTGTCTCTTATGTTGACTCAAGTTCCTTTTTATTGATCCATACGATTAGATGAAAAAAAAACAAATACCGGCAAAGAAAAGAGGAAACAAAACGTGAACAGCTTGTATTATACGTTAATACAATGCATACTATATGTTCAACAGTATTTTGATTTCGTTTCACCTGTTTTATCTAAAGACATGTAATCCAGGATGTAGAAAAATACACGCAGTATTCTTTCATTTCTCTATTATTTTCGTTTTCAGTGTCTCCTTTGATTTCTCGTGTCGTCCATAGTTGCCAAATCATCAGGCACATCGTAGTTGCGTCGATAATAAACATTCGACGTTGTGATCGTCTACTCGAAGAGAAGAAGTTATCGTTGCGTAAAGGTTTGCGATGGTCGACGGTCGTGAGACTGTTTTGACGCGTTGAGGACGTATTGACTTATTTTTTTTTTTGTATCGTTTCATCATTGGACTCTGTCGTTACGATTCTTTTTTTTTTATTTTTCTGTTTGGAGCTTCTGCTCTTGGGAATATACATAACATACTTGATATATACGTTGGGGAAAAATTTGTATTGATCGAATAAGAGAGAGACGTGTCGAACATTTAATTATTTCACCGTTAATTAAACAATTTAACAGGTATGAGATTAACGTCACTCTGTTGAAATAACCCTATGAAAATGAAGCTCCTACGTTGTTGCAAGAAGGAATGCCTAATTTATAACCTAGACTTGACACGAATTCTGTTAATCAAAGAGGGATGAGATTTCTTAAATCCTGATTGAAAGAAGCTGCAGGCGAGGATGACCTTGAAATTACGAGATGTCAACTTGTTCAGAGACTAAATTCAGCAAGCAAATCCGATTCTTGATATGTTAAAAGAAACGCTACGAATCCCCAGCATCCGATGGTCGTTTTCTAGTGTGTATGGAAAGATGTTACACGCATGTTGTTTTCTTATTCTCGTTTTTTACTGAAACTAGCAACATCTGCGATGGATATAGCATGCAGAGTGTCACAGCTGGAGCGGGTAACGGCTTCGCTGTCATGTGTACGAAGATGTGAATTTAAAGACACGAATAAAAGGACATCACATTGCGCCTCTTATTTTCTTGACACCCTCTTGCAATTTGGTTTATTAACTACTGGTTACTGTGCACATGAATCTAAAAGATTTGTAAACTTGAAAGTTCTGAAAGCTCCAGGACTCTTTCAAAACTACATTATTTACTTTGAGTTCTTGTCTTGTAGATTATTTAAATTGTTCTATTGATTGGACAACTAATTGTTCAAAACTTTCGTGCCACGGGACAAAAATTGGTATCGCCATCTAGCGGTCAACAGAAAGAACTAAAATTTGTTGTTTGGCGTCTATTAAAAAGATAATAAACATATACAGACTTTAAACCTGTGTAGGTCTATTAGTCCAACTAAGTTCGACGTGTGGTCAGCGCCTCTATCGGGAAAACGCTCAAGCTTGTCGAGAAATAGTTCCCCTAGTCACGGTAGATGGAGCCATTTGTTTGTTTAAATAAAAATGTTATATATCCTATAGCAAATAAGTGAACAAGCATTGTTATATTAAATTTTGTATGAAAATCGTTTTTTATCCCTTGAATCGTTCATTTTTTATTTAAACAAACAAATGGCTCCATCTACCGTGACTAGGGGAACTATTTCTCGACAAGCTTCAGCATTTTCCCGATAGAGGCGCTGACCACACGTCGAAATTTTAGTTCCTTCTGCTCACCGCTAGATGGCGATACCAATTCTTGTCCCGTGGCGCGAATATTTGAATATAGTTTTTTAACATAGTTTTATACCCTTATACATTATGTATTTCGTGTTACTATATAAAATATTCATTAATTACCATATAATTTATGTTATACCTACGTTATTTGCTACAATATTGCAGAAGAAACGGTAGGTAAGGCAAAAATAAAAAACAGTCTTTGAAATCATTAATGACATTTATAAAATGCACAAAAAATATTCCAGAGTATTTACAATATTTAAATACAAAATAATTGCAATTGTAAGTAACGAGTGAGTATAAGATCGTTACTCAAAGTATCCTTAAAATAATATACACACGATTACATTAATTACATCGCATAAAGATTCGAAGACTTATAAAAACACCGCGTTTTATGCTTACGACAATTGAAGTACGGCAGTCTTTGAAAGGCAATAAAAAAGAGATTTGTACGTCAAGACTTGAATTGGACTAATTATAAATTATTGCGTACAATATAAAATTTGAAGAGACTCAAAGCTCAATATAAAATCTATTGGAAGAGTATGTTCTTTACTTAAAGTTATTTCGACAGCCAAGTGGAAAAATAACAAATTCCTGTCGATAATTTATATCTATCAGATCTATGTTGATCATCAAGAGATAATCATTATATATACCATCATAAAAATATCGTTCTCAATAATTACGCGACATTTGGAAGGATTAACAACACGTAGAAGGCTAATTTCCCTGAAAGATCGTTACACGCTAATTACATATTAATAGCAAAAGTACAAAGAAAAACTATTGAAAGCTGCATCAGCGAAAACAGCGAGAACTATATACATATACATATCATATGGTAATAGTAAGTATTCCCGTGTATACAAAATTACACGTTATTGTGGCCGCTATGTTCGAAGTACATAAAATCCTGCAACATACACAATTATAAATACACCAATAAATGTAATAACAGTATTCCAGAAACGCGCTGGCTAATAAAAATCTTACAATTAAAAGACAGGCACCGAGTAACACAGCCTTGATCTTCACGTCCAGATCCAGAGGAAAACTTATACCAAAATTGTCAACATCTGTGAAAAACTCTTGCATGAGGCCGCTCCATTCCTTCTTAATCACTCCAACTCTGTTCTCGCCGTTTACAGACAATACCTACAAAAGCACAAAATAACAGTGGAGAAGGTGTAAAGGAAAAAACATTATCAAGATGTTAACGAGGGTGTACCTTGAACTTTACATCCCCGCAAAATTTACACCACGGCCCTTCTATAATTAAAACCGTTTCTCCAGATGCGTTGCGAATCGAGAACGTAGGCTGCCAAAGACTCCAGTCTTGTACCACAGAACCCAGGAACATATTACCAGAAAACACTTCTAGCTCCTGAAAATATATAAATTGAAATGTATTGACTTTGATGGGCGAAATTTTATTTATATAAGAATATTATGTGGATTCTGAAATCGCGATGAAACTCAAGCATCGAGAAATCAGTTCAAGCCTTGAACTTCAAGGTTTTGATGCTAACATTTAAAAATTGTATCTTTCTCATTCCCTACTAATTAAATATTCATACAAGAATATTGTGTTGATTCTGAAATCAGGACAAAACTCAAGCATCGAAAAATCAGTTCAAGCCTTGAACTTAAAGGCTTTGATGCTAACATTTAAAAATTCTATCTTTCTCATTCCCTACTAATTATATTAAATAACTCTTTGAATATGTGTAACGAAATAATATAATTTTGACCAAATTTCTAAGCCAAGTGCTCCACAGCGAGCTGGTCAGAATCGTGTACGAAACCGTCGCTGATCAGGGCGGTTCTGTTCAAAGAATATCGATCGTGACCTGCCTTCCCAATGGGCTGAATAACTTTTCGTCAAAGGTAATCGTCGCAGATGGTGCGCACGTGTGAAGAAAGCTCGGCGCGCTGTGTGTGCACCGCATGTCGAAGAATCTCCAGCCGCACGTTTTGCAAGCGGTAGCTGCCGACCGTCATAAATAAAGAGGCAATTACGGTAACGCGAACGGACGTGTCCTTCATGAACCGATTGAGTATATACCTACTACGGGTAGTGCTGTCGAAGTGAAATATGATTGTACCGTGTTCACGAGCCACTGCTAGCAGATAACAAAACGTTACTGGTACGTGACAAAGACGACACCTCTAAATAATATGAGAAATAATCCACAAGCAACGAAAGAAAGAAGCAAAGAAACGATGAATTTATGGAGAGAAATAAAAATTTTGTAATATTTCTTTGTGGGAGTTTGTACTAAAAATTCCTTCAACTGTAGATTATTCAATCTCTCGTTGGTCAAAGCTAGCTTCAGCGAAGTCTGTCTCGGTCATTTCCATGGGACCCTGAAAGATGGATTCATAAGACAAACGAAACGTAAATAAATATTACTGAATATTAACTAAACTAACAAGTATCTCAGCAGTGGTTCGCAAGTTCCCACTTGTCTCAAACACACAAAGTCTCAAACGAGATTGCTTCGACTCGAGTTACAAATTTAGCGATTTACGTCGGATAACGGGTGTCGTAAAAATCTGAGGTTCGGCCCATACTTTATTGGGCTGCCTGGAGACTTCCGTTACACGCTCGATTGTTTTCGTCACGGAGGGGGCAGCTGCGCGTCGTTCCTTTCTTTAAGACGATAAAGGGAAAATACCTGCAAGCAGCAAGGACAGCAGCAACTATCGCACCTAAAAGGACGAATCATGCGCAGGACTTCCCTTCTGGTGCCGTCGTACACTTGAAACTCGCAGCTACGGGAAGCTCCGAGGCACATACGCGAACATATATTCGATTCCTCGACGACGTAAAACACTGGCTCGCCCCTGATATTCACCACGCTGTATTTATTTTTGGTTTCGAATCCGATCAAAGCTGCAACAGCATTCAAATACATCGCTTGATTCCTATTAAGGCACAAAATATCGATGTTTACTTCGTCGGGGTTAGTTAGAGATCGAGGTTTCATTTTCGCTGGAAAATAAAATCACGAATAAGACTCGTGGCCTCGTGTCGCGTAAAATCAGATCTCCCGATTAGATTAGATAATCGAATTTTTTAATTTTGGACAAGGTACTGTACTCGAAAGAGTATACTATTTACTATAGTGCGCGTAAACAATTATAGAAATAGATGTTTATATATTTGTATAATAATTCGTATATTTATTCTTATTGTCATTATTTAACACAAATGATAACCCGTATCGGTTTTGTATGCATTCTTGGAATAGCCTCTTGCCACTACGATCCTACCGCAGTCACGTGATTTTACTCGGATCCATTTATCGGCCCGTGGAACGCTCATAGGCTCACTGAACTCGGCCATCTGTCGACAAGTTCTTTCTTCCTGAATCTAACGCACGAAATCATTCCTATCTGTAGTTTGTTCTATGCTTTTATCAAGCGTTATAAAAGTGTTTCCTAAAATTCACTTGAGGAATAAACAAAATTTATCTACGTTGAGGTAAAATTAGACGAGTCACGTTACACATGTTTATTATATAGGTTATATAGGCAGATAGATAATGATGGATGAGACAGATAACACAAACGAAACTAACCTTCGATGAGTTCTATTTTTTGCTGAACAAACAGATGATCAAGGGCCATAAGGTATTCCAAGCCTGGTGGACAGGTCGTATTCAGCGGTGACCAACCACCTGAAATAAAAAAAAAATATAACGTTAATTTTAATGACAATATATATAGATAGAATTGCATATAGTTTTTTGATAGGGTTATACTACTGTTTAAATAAATGTAAATGTAAAATGAAAGGTTGATAGAAAACTACCAAGGTGATAAATTTGAAAGACAAATTAGTTTGGCCTTCATCCCTCTAATTACGAATGTATAAGTAATTAATTATATTCTAATTAATATATAATATATAATCATTAATATAATAATATAATTTTATATATAATTGTATGTATAATATGATATGCATTGGCCTTGGTGGCTTTAATGTTAACAAACAACTAGAATCTTTCCACGATCAACAAGTGCATTCAGATATAAACTCCAAATTGCTTGGGCCAGCTCTAGCGTTAAACGGTCCGCCATATTGATTTTTGAATTGAACCGGAAGCCTAAGGTCCTATACAGTCACCTCTTTTCTTCGTCCGTGAGAAACCTGGTATATCCGTTCCTCTTTGGGTGTCTGTGATACCTCTTCAGGGTATTTCTGAACAACGTTCTGAGACACCTTCGAATTTGCTGCATCTTTACCTTCCAGGAAGTTTCGAAATATTCGGACTCCATAGCTCAGCCATGCAAACGAATATAGTTCACTCGCAAACTCTCGTAACTATCGACACCAACGTGGACCGTAACATTTCCGAAGTAAAAAATTCGTCCCGAAAAACTTGTTCGAAAATTTGCATAATATCCACGCCGGCGTTTCTTTATTCAACTTTACGTAAATCACGGGCACGCCAGCCGGCTACTAGTTTGAAATTTTTTTGTAACAGCTCGTAACATGTCTATACGCGATTCTCGGGATTTATTTAACGCGTAAACGGTGCTCTATTGGCAGCACCTAATGCACTCTAACGATCGGCTGTTTCCTCAAGTTTCTCCAGCTCTGCTCAATGATAAGACGTGTGTATTTTTCCTGGGACACATTTACTTCTTTGGACCGTCCTGGTTTGCCGTGTTATCTTACCAGATAAAGAGAACAATAAATACTCCTACGGTGAAAACTTTCCAACTGTTCAATGAAAGGGCATTATAATATACTCCAAGAGTGCTACTCGAAAACTATTAGCTAGATCATCAGATGCAATAATCAATGTACTCGAGATTAAATACCCAAGCGAAATGAAATATTGGGTTGTCCGGAAAGTTCATGCCTATTTTTAAGAAAAATTCAAAGGCATATTTGAATTTTGATGTATATTTATTGAATTACATAGGTGCCATTTTGTTCCACAATCTTTCCATCTTTTAAGGGATGTATGCATGTTATTTGTTTTCAACCACTTCGATATACAGGGTGTCCCAAAAATGTTGTAATACCTTGAAAGAGGTGGTTCGGGAGGTGATTTGAAACAACTTTTTCCTTAGCGAAAATGTTGTCCGAGGCTTCGTTGAGGAGATATTAATAAGTAAACCCCGACCAATCAAAGCGCGAGTAAGCCGGTGGACCGCCCACGGTAGGCGTAGCCTCCGCGCTCTGATTGGTCAGTGTTTTCCGTTAATATCTCCTCAACGAAGCTTCGGACAACATTTTCGCTAAGGAAAAAGTTGTTTCAAATCATCTCCCGAATCACACCTTTCAAGGTGTCACAAGATTTTTGGGACAGCCTGTATTCAGACCTGCACCATCTACCAAAAATCGACATGGACTTTCCGGACAACCCAATACATAACAAAAAAAAAACAGCACTCGAAACTCCCACAAAGTTTCGTCCCCCATATTTTCTGCCTATGATTTACTCTCTACGATATCGACGTGTAATCGAGATCTAACCTGCATGTTTATTTTATTGCGCCATCTATAAATATCGAACGGTTCGAATTACGTTCGAAACGACGCATTTAAAGAAACAGTCCACCGCAACTCGAAACAAGATTTTATGCAACGCGATCGCAGCCCTTCGCCGGTAGCAAATTGCCGATCCGCCGACGCACGTCCGGCTTGTTTCGCAAATTGGACAGAATATTATTTAATCTCACCGTTAATTAACCATGAATCACCTTAGCGTGCAGCCTCGCGCGAACTGTACTTTCCGTTACAGCTGCAACGCGTCCCTTCGAATGGAAAACATCGATATCGATTCGTTCGAATATCTCGTTCATTCTACGGCGAAACGATTCTCAATTTTTGCGTTCAATCGATTTCCACGAGGATAAAAAAAAAAAAAAAAAAAAAAAAAAAAATTCTTGGAGAAAACAAGAGAGAGCAATCTTTGATGATTAACAACACCACCATCGAATGTATGCTTCGTTTAAAATGCTTATTCGGTCATTTGTTTATTATTAATATTACTCAGTCATCTGATTAATAATCGAATAAAATTCTCCATCGTCTCGTAGTTCCAGAACGAAGACACCAACCTTCTCCATGACAATTTTATTTTTACGCGACTATTTACGGTGCAGCGTTTGAAACGAGCCGAGAAAAAAAGAGGGAAACAAAAAAAAAAGGGGGGGGGGAGTCGATAAAACGAAGACCCCGTTGTGAACAGATTTTTTATATCGAAGGGGAGCCATTTATCGAGATACACGGAGTGTAATAATTGCCTAACAACTCTGCCCGTTGCGGACGAATCTTTACATTTATCCTTAATAAAAGCAAACACCGTGAAACTAACTGGCTACCTTAGAGATCCTTTACTCCTTTAATTTACTTCGACGTTTGCAAGAAAAAATATTACAAGAAAAAAATGTCACAAAGAACGGAGCACGACAGGGTCTTTTTACACGGCACACGTTTAACACAGATCACAGGCAACAGGTGATCTAGAATATCGACGCACATGAATTCCCGAATTACGACACAAAAATTCGTAGAGCCTCGATCTAGATCGGTTCCTGTTGCACGGAGCTACGCAAGTGTATTTACTGCCGATAAGAAAGGCGAAACGAGCTACGGGTCTACGAAACTGGATGGCACTTATCCTGCATACGTGACGCTTCCACCAATGAAGACGACTAATCTACTTACTGATCGTCACTTGGCAAACAGCGACTGTATCGTGGTCCGTTTCAGAGGCCGCTTGTTGTACGACGAACTCACGATCAGATAACGTTGGCCACTGATAAATTCGGATTCGGGGCTAGCTACCTGAGTCTTTTAGAATTCCCGAAAACGTTTAACAGAAGTTAACAGAAGTTTAATGGAGTCAACGGAACGTCGAAAGCTTTCTGGAGGGTTTTGTAACAGATTTATGACCTACAACACTCGTGATCTGATAACGCGATTCAAAACTGATACGTAATGGTCGAATAATATTGACGAATACGTGCTGTACGGTATTCGTGTAACAATTTCCAGCTATCGGGGCGCACGAGATATAAAGTTTGGAATGTGGTAAATGACGAGCGATAGGCGCAACTTAAACACGATTTTTGATAATCTAGTACAGATAATAAATATTGAAGCTCTTGCAGGGTTTGTCTTAGAAGTTGCGAAGCCTAATTGGCTCAAAGATCGACTCTGGACGTATTAACACGTTCACTGCCAGACTAATACTTTTTAAAATTTCTACTGTGATTCAATTTTGTTTACAGACTATTGGAAACTGTGTAATGAAACATTTATTGTGGTGTTTAGTTTTGTAACTTCATTAAAGTTTAAGTATTTTATATAAATTCATTTTCTGTGACACTTAACTTTCAGAATTAATTTTCGTACTTTTTCAGTGAAAATCACTGTCACCCATATATGAAGTCCGAAATTACGTAGTTTAATTGTCATTATTTCTCTTCGTGTAATTATTCGATGTTGATATGAAACGACATTGGTATAACGCAATCGTAAATTGACTGGTGACTCAAAACCAGCTTTAAAAAAAATGTAATAATACTTTACCTTGGGGCATCATCGGTATATCGGGTTGTGGCATCGGAAATGCACCAGGTACGGGTGCAGTTGCAATGGGCTGCATCGGTGAATAAGGCGGTGGTTGTTGTGCATACGGGGAAGTCATGTTTCTCTCACCTAAATCCGAGATAGATTTATCCTTCAGATTACGTTTCGTTCATTCTGAAGTTTTCATTCAATCAACATGGAATACGAAGCTTAAACGAAATTTCATCGCTTCGCGATAAACAACGCAATACGAATGCGTATGCTAATTAGTCTCCACGGTTAACCTTCATGTTCCATCAATGAAAGAACTCCAATATGTTAATAATGTTCGAGTCTGCTGTTTTAAAAATGTATTATTCCTACACTCGATGGAAGAGCACGTGCATGAATTACGTGAAATCGAAACTTTCGAAAATGAAAACGACGCAACCCACCTAAAAATTAAGTCTTACTTTTCGTTTTGGTATTTAGGTTATGTACGAGTGAACTGTTCGATCGGTAACGTTCTCCCCCGCGACCTTCTTTACCAGCAGATTGGACGAATTAGTTGCGAGAAACGTCGCATGGTGACGAAACTAATAACACACTGTTTATGTTGTTGAAATTGCCAGGTCATCGTCCGCTCGTAAAGGTCGTTGTAACTTTATGAAGTATAGCCGATAACTCGACGTGTTTTTAATGATAATAATCCTTTGTCCCTCGATATGTCTGTGATCGATAATTTATACTGAACTTGCTGGCTACCTACCAACACTGAAACTCTACTGTGTTTACTATCGAAAATTGAGAGTTACATTCCATAAGAAAATTCGATTCTAAAATCCTGACTGTGTTGGTTGAACCTATTTTCTTAAAATGTTCTATTATTATTATCATAATATATTTGCTCGTCCCTACAAATATCCCTATATTCTGATGTCTGTATTTTATATAGGTTATATACATTCCATCGCTGTGTAGCAATCTTGACTTCCGGTGTACTCGATAAATTTGAATTCTTATCACGTCCCTGATGCCACGTTTCGTTAATTTCGTCAATTATAAATATAATTACATATACGAATATCAACTTTCTATACATTTCATAAATATTCAGTGTGTCGAGTATTTATTATCTCGCAAATTTAATTGCACTTGCCCTTACGAGGTATCGCACGTACGCTTAGATAGAAACATTCATCGATATATAAAAAAAAAAAAAAAAATCAAGAATGACACCTTAAACTAGTTTCCAGCACATCGTGTGCACTAGTTTTTAATAGCCTTGAATGAAGTTTCATGAGGCCTAATCGACAGTTTCCTCGTTTGTTGCGAACAACCTCGATACCTTTTCGTTCGTGCGATTATTATTTTTTCCTTTTTTTTTTTAAACGTGCCGCAACACGCACTGATTACGCTTTTCACGGTGAACGAACGACGAGGGGGTCAGAAATTATACGAATTACGCGTACGATTACGAGTTATACAATCGGTAATAAGGATGAAGTTTCGTAGATGTTATTAGCGACAGCGAAAAGAAAATCATCGATAAGCGCGGCGATAAGTGCACGTGCATTCCGAGAACCAATTGCATTGTTCCGCGGACTCGATGACGACTTATTAATTACAGGCGCAATAGAAGTCGACTCGTTCGAGCTCTGTAGAGCTCGTCGAACGATTCTGTGTTAACGATTCGTTTATTCTCACGATAGATATTCGAATTCGAGGAATTGATGGCATACATGTAGGTAATATTTAGTATTAGGTTGTCCCCAAAGTTTCTTTCGCTTTATTAATAAGCAGGGCCGGCGCAAGGCAGGTTTTAAAAGGTCTCGCGGTCTACGAAAATTACTGAATTAAAAGGTACCGATTTTGATTAACTTTTTACAGACTGATGATACTATTAAGAAATGGAAGCAATTTTTGCTGAGATGCAAGACATTTTTTTAGTAGCGTTGTTTAAATTGAAAGGAGTGACAAAAATCATGAAAGTATTATTATTTAATATTCATCTTATAAAAAATATACAGGGTGTCCCAAAACTGTAACAGTTTGAAAGGGTTGGTTCGAGAGGTGATTTGAAACAACTTTTTCCTTAGCGAAAATGTTGTCCGAGGCTTCGTTGAGAAGATAATAACGGAAAACACTGACCAATCAGAGCGCGAGGATGCCGGTGGAGCGCTTGCGGTAGCGTACGCTATGCGCTAGGTGGCCGCGCTCCCCGACCAATCAGAGCGCGAGTATGCCAATGGAGCGCCCGCTGATTGGTCAGTATTTTCCGTTAATAATTCCTTAACAAAGCTTCAGATAACATTTTCGTTAAGGAAAAAGTTATCACCCCTTTCAAGTTGTTACAATATTTTTGGGACACCCTGTATAGCATTTGTAAATAAATAATTCCTCGTTGTAAAATTTAAGTGTAAGATTTGAATGTGAATTCAGGCCCTGCAAAATTTTTGAACCCGGCCCCGCAAAAGGTCACGTCGGCCCTGTTAATAAGTAATACATGCACAATATTTTATGTTTTATGTTACATTATATGAATATCTATGAAATTAGATTGTGTATTTATATAAACACGACCACATAAAATAATTGAATGCAACTCGCGAAAGAAACTTTCGAGACAACCTAATAAATTCATTGAAATTTGAAATAAAAATAGAAGACGGTTTCTTTGTTTGAAAACGAACGACTATCTTCATCTAGAATTTAAATTCAGGAATCGAGCGTGAAACAGTGCGAAACGTGACCTATGATCTCTATTGCTTTGTTTCGAAGTTATAACTCGTGCGATAGTTTGTCCAACGTGAAACATCTGTGGACGCGAGAGTGGGCATTATTTGTCGATGGATTACTTAAAATTGGCCCTCACCGACTAATTGCCACTGTTCGTCACCGAATACTACGTAAAGTGATGCATTGTTCAGTTATGTACACTTTCATCGGATGATGTCATCGTGTCTCACATGTGTCTGCGTCGCATACCACAAGGTCGTCAATGTCGTGACTGCTGGAATGACGTATCTATACAACACACCAATACAAAAGAAAATAGGTGGCCTGTGTAAACCGCAAGATACGACCCGAGCAATGTGCGCTTCCGGTTTTTCAGAAAAGCACGGTTTACGCCCTTCGTCGGTGGAAAAGGAATATCGAATATTCCCGACGTTGTCTCTCTCTCTCTCTCTATTCGTTATTTTTCCTTATGCACAAAAAGAATAATATAAATACACAAAAATCTAATTTTCTGTTACGCACGACTCTTCTAATTTTTCTCTCCTGATCTATTTTAAGTGTGCACGTTTTATGCGGTGTTCTCATGTGATGGGCAATTTTCTCCACTTCTTACCCACGAAACGAGCAGCGTAGGTTTTGTGCAACGCTCGGTGACTCAATACGATCGTTTTCTTACGAAAATAGCGACCAAAGTTGCGACCATTGCCAATGAGACGTGCTTTGCACGTAATAAATCATTCGATAAACTTTTCCAGTGTATTTCTTATACCTCTGATGCAAGGACGTGTCTTTTTCTAAACACGACCAAAAGAAAAGGACGAACAAAAAAAAAGAACGCGATATAGGTAACGGAAGGTTTAACGATGAATAAAAATCGAAGCAGCATCTCGAATCATAGTTATTAATAAAACATCGTTCCTACGAAAGAATGTATCCTAGAATATACGAAGATTTTCGGATCCTACTCGAGCATGCTTTTAATGAATGTTTGGTAATATTAATAAAACTCACTGAACGCTCGGGAGCGTCGAGGTCGTGGATAGTGCTGTCTAGAAGATAAGAGAATGACACTTGCATCCGGTAAAGGGAGTTTCCGTGATTACTCTCTTACTATTTTCCTCAGGCCACGGTTTTATATAGAAAGAAAAGAACGTACGTCCAGTCCTCCCGTTCAGCGACGCTATTCGTCCGAGTTTTCCGTGCCGTGGCGGCGTCCACCAATCACAGGCCGGCTTTAACGCGCGTTTAACGAGGAAACGTCGGAAAATTTGAAAACGCGACCTAAAGTGCTCGATTTCGGATCCCCGTCGCGATAAGTGCCGGAACGATGTATATTGGGCAGGCACGTAAACTAGTGGTAAGGCCTAAGCGGAGATAGAAGCAGTACTCGATGCTCGCGCAAGGAGGTACGAAGAAAATCCAAGCGCGATAAGATGGCGTCACGCACGTCAGAGAGCTAGGGAAAGAAGTGAGGGGTAGAGGAAAGACAGGAAGGAGGCAGGCACAGGCGAACGTCGCCAGGGGACTGCGGTGTGTGACAGAGAGTGCGAATACGGTGCTGTCATGTCTTCTTCGAGCCTTAAGAACGGCTACGATTCGATCACGGTGGTGAAACGTTGTGCGTGATCCCCCATCGTTCCAGTAACATCATCGATGCCTTTGTTCGGCAATAAGAACTGTTCTCGTTCGAACGCGTTCGCTTCGAGGATACGAGGACGGCGGTGGTAGTCGGCTGAGACGTGTTCGATAAAGAAACAAACGTGCGCGACCGATTAATCGGCTGGGAAACTCGAGAGATAGAATCTTCCTCTCGGTCCTGGACACGTCGAGGAGGAGGAGGAGGCGGAGGAAGAGACGGAGGCGAACTGCCAAAGAGATGCGCGAGTTCAAGGTAGTCGTCCTCGGCTCGGGCGGGGTAGGCAAGAGTGCACTCACCGTGCAATTCGTTTCGGGATGTTTCATGGAGAAGTACGATCCGACGATCGAGGACTTCTATCGGAAGGAGATCGAGGTGGACAACTCGCCGTGCGTACTCGAGATCCTCGACACCGCTGGCACCGAACAGTTCGCGAGTATGCGCGATCTTTACATAAAGAACGGGCAAGGCTTCGTTGTCGTTTACAGCCTGACGAATCATCAGACCTTCCAGGACATCAAGGCGATGAAGGAATTGATAACGCGCGTAAAAGGCACGGAAAGGGTGCCCGTGTTGCTGGTAGCGAACAAGCTCGACCTGGACCATCAACGCGAGGTGGAGACCGCGGAGGGTAACAATTTGGCACAGCTCTGGGGATGCCCCTTCGTCGAGGCGTCCGCGAAGAACCGCACAAACGTCAACGACGTGTTCGCGGAGATCGTACGCGAAATGAACTTCAGCCCCGAGAAAGAGAAGAAGAGCTACTGCTGTTGCAGCGTCCTCTAATAATTAATCAAAATCCTGAACCAGGCTCGTCTAGAGCCATGTTAGGTAAAGGAAACCGTAAGTAGTGGCCGAAGCAGTGCGCCAAGGTGATTCCCAAACTATTTGTCTAGTGGCTACGCTCTCTTTCTTAGGCTCAACCTCGAGCTCGTGCTGTGAATTCACCAATCTGTAAGACTAATGTTACCCTTTGGATCGAACCAATTTGGATCGAGGATCTTTGTGAATTCGACTATGTCAAAGACTCAACGCCGTCTCTTGGTTCTTTTTCTATCGGAAAATCACAGTCTGCTATTAGGCCGGCTGTTAAATATTTTAATATACATGGATAGTATTATATGTAATATTATTGTAATATATAATGATAGATGTAAGCGGGCAACGAAAGAGGTAACTCCGTCAGCAAAGGACCAATAATCGACAGAGAAAGAGCGAGATATGAAAGTGAAAATGGATTGGTAAACGACACCGATATCATTCCGGGCTACAATGGAACTGCCCGGCGATAGTTGTTACTTGTTAACGGCGAAACCAAACTCGATACGTCTAGCTTTCTGCTCAATCTAAACGAAGCGCCCATCGCATATTTGTTCCAATTTAGCGAAACCTGTATTGCTCATAGGTTAAACGCTAATCAATGGGACATCCAAACTATTTGCAGATATTGAAGGAATCACTGTGGTGGCTAGCCATTCGATGTAAAGGAAAGAATTGAAACGACTGAGTAAATTTTATTTACGATGTACAGTCAGAAACTTGAAAGAGGACGTAAGGTCTTATATACGCATTGTGCAATGATATCCATTAATGATATACTACCCATGCTCAAACGTCAGAGGCTGCGGTAAAGAATTCTTCGTATAAGGGGTTCGAATGCTGTGTCGAGTGTACAGTTTTAATAGTAAAAATACATTTTATTAAGGAAAATATAGAGTCGCGAAAATGATCCACTAATGGCTAGAATTTTATATTCGGAACCATGACATTTAAACGATCGAGTTCCATCTGATTTCGGTACCATTTAGTTGCATACCAGGTATTATTTATGTTCTTATTCGATTATAGATTCAATTACTTGGAATGGGAATTTGAATAATGGCACCTGGTGCTTCGAACAGCCAAGATGTAATTAAGAGAGAATTGTCCCAGACAAATAGAGAAGGAAGAACGTCGATGGAAAGGAGATTGCGGTAATGTTACAGTGGAACATTAGTACATAACGTCAATCGTAAACATAATTATAGGATTTATATGATAAAGTCTGTACGATAAAAAAAAAACAAATACAAAGTCTTTATACAATTTCGATAAGTTTTATAGCCAATTTTAAACCAGCAAGATGATGATTCGGCTTTGAAACTTGTTTTTTTTCTCGCAAAGGCTTGCTGGTACTACACTGATCCCTTCAATTGCAAAAAAATACATATGTGGTACTTGTAATAATATCCGATGTATCCATTGCTTTATACGTACAGAGGAATGTCCTTTCGTAAAAAAAAACTATTCACCATTAAGTTTAGCGAATGTAAACCGATGGATGTTTAAAAAAAAAAAAGAAGCAATGGACTCCCTTATAAGTAGCAGTAGGTCGTGTGTAATTTTTCTCGTGTGATCAAAATCATATTATCCGATGTTAAATACCGCTTTGATATCATAAACAATCATTACATTAGCTTGATATATTATTTAACGCCACCATCGAAGTCATTAATTTTTCCGTGTAATCGCTGCACGACGTACCTTAAGCAAAATAAGGGTTGTTCGCTCGTCTATCGTTTTCTTTTTTTTATGAGTTTAACCGAAGGATATTAATCCCGATTTTTTTTTCTTGAAAAAAAAAAAAAAGAATGTATTTATAGTTTGTACAATATCTACTTGTTCGTCTAGATTTACGCGTCTTTCGGATCGATTACGATGTTGAATTATACACGAGCGATGACGCTTCCCTTATCAAAGCGTATCGGAGGACCTTAAAGTCGAACTGAAAAGTTTAAAATGAACTGATGTACAGTATTTCTATCATTGGTAGTTAGAAGTGTCCGACGATATTGTTCTTGGGAAGAGCTATCGATCGTACGTTAATTCGTTTCCAATTGTCGGTGCACTTTTAATAACGTCATTTCGTAGCGAGTACGCGTGGCTGGGTGTTTTTTCTAATTTCGTAAAATCGCTTTACGATACTTGTTGCATGGAAACGTGTCTTGAGACGTAATGAAATTGAATATTCTATACCAATTGAAATTTCCAATAGTAGATTAATGTTAATTCTAGAGTTCAACACTTGTCCATTTTTCTTTATTCGCGCTTTCTTTATTTCGTAATTACTAGACTGCGTATCTTTATGCAAGGTAAAATCTTAGCAAACGTCCCTGCGAAAACTGAATCTGAAGAGGAACTTGTTTTACTCTGGAAATATCGTAGCATGAACTTTACAGTCGATTTTTTATGCTGTTTATATTTTATAGTTTCTTGTACTGGGTTGTCCGGAAAGTTCATACCGATTGAAATTCAAACGTGCTTTTGAATGTTTCTTAGAAATTGCCACGAACTTTCTGGACAATCTAATACATTTAAATCTCGTGTAAACGGATAAAAATCCGCAGTCTAACAATTACTATTTTGTCTTGTAACGTTGATGGCATTGGGAGCCTGGTGCGGCACTCTAGAAATTAATTTATATAGCATAACCAGTTTCGATAAATAGTCACTCTGTTTTTAATTGGTTCGAGTTATCATTGGTCGTGCGTAGTGGTGAAAGAAAATTAGCGAAAACAGAAAAAGTACGAGATAGCCTCGCGTGTTCGATTGATGAAGGGTGCTAATACGTTTCGTCAGTTTAAGATTGACGTAGCGTATACCGACGTAGCGAAAATCGGCCATCCATTTCGTTACTGTACTCAAACTAAAAACAGGCAAGGAAGAAAGGGATGGTGAGGGGAGGGAAAGGGGGCAACAGAATTATTCGTATCCACTATTTTATCACCACCCCGGAAAATTCGTAGTCTCGCTGTGATCCCGTAGATGTAACCGCAGTTTTTCTATTAAAAGACGACGATAATAACCGCGTATAAAAGCCTTTCAACGGCGAATCAAAGGGCCTCTTTGTGAAACGTGTAATCGCTCTCGCTCTATTATCGTTACGTTTTTCTGCCCTCCTGGGTTTTTTGTGCTTCGCGAAAACCATGGATTGGCAAAGGGCAAAAAAAAAAAAAACAGGAAAGAAAAGAAAAGAAAACAGAAAGGTCGCTTATTATCTGTCCCGTGGATAGCTCTCCAAGTAGTATTCCCTCCGGTGCACGGGATAAGGAAGAAAAAAGAAGTTTCTATATTTGTATCGCTTCTAAACGTAACGCACACAAATATGCATACGTATACACGAGTACACGCGTGTTTATCCGACACGAGGATCGCGTTTAAGAATATTTTTCTAAAGCACGCGCTGAAACTTTCGTACGAGACAAAAGGCAAAATTTGTCTATTACGTGGAAAGCTATCTACGGGATCAGAGAATCGAGTTATATTGTCTCCGAGTCAGCATATCAGCGTGAAGGACCAGGTTCGTTTCGATTTAGTTCCTCGTTTCGGCCAGCAAATCCTTCCGATTTTTCGAAAAAAAAATGATACGTAGCAAAAGAAAGCACAAAAATTCACCATCTACAAACGATTCCCATACGATTTTATAATTAGATATAAATAAATGAATAAATGAATGAATAAATATAAATATAAATATAAATATAAATATAAATAAATATATATATATATATTATACAATATATATGTATACATGCAGATTTGTTACGCAACTGGGTCACATTAATTCGAAAAACACCACGATTTAGATGTATATCGGCCTTTCAGTACTACCTGCGTATGATATTGAGTACGAAATACGTTATATTTTTTACAATGTGAAGAAACTGTAAATATTATAGCGTCGAATTATATATAATAATAATAATAATAAAAAGGAATATTGATAAACGATTATCTGACATTTGAAAAAAAGACAACAAACGAGAATGGCTTACAGTAAAAAATGTGCATTTCATTGATCGATTTTACGAAACGCGAATATATATTTACTTCGTTTTAACGTTTTCTGTTGATTACGTCGTACAGATTTTACGGCTATGTTCGCATGATCGCTTGGGTAGACAAGAAACGGATACTTGAGACACTTAAAAGAAAAACGACACCATCTGCGAAAAATTTTTGTTCGCTGGTAATTTTAATCTCCCGTCCGTTTATTCGGACTTGCATTGAAATGGGAAACGCGCAAAAAGTGTGCGCTATTTTTTACCTGTAGTAAACAAAAAACAAAAGTAATGCAAGCACGGATAAGCTGGACATCGATAAGAAAGTGCATTTTTTCTTTCTATTAGTTTAAAGGAATGTTTCAAGAATACTGAATTTAATAACACGCAGCAATGTCCCTTTCCTTTTGTTTACAGTTCATTGCATTTTTTCTAACTTTCAGTGGATGAATTACCAGCATAAGAATCTAGTCACTATAAAATTTTTGTAACTCAATGACATGGAAAACATGCAAAGTGTATGCTTACAAAACGCAATTGTACTATCCTGTCATGCGATTCATTCATTTTTACCATTATAATTAGTTTGAAAAATCATTTCCTAATGTAGCTTAGACAATAAGATAAAGTAAATAATTCAATCGAATGTTTGTATGTTTGTTATTATTATTAACAATACTAAGGAATTGCGAAGGAAAAAATTGTAATTGATTTCAGAGACTATACGTTGATACGGTAATTAATTTCTTATATTATGTAGCCAAATTTTTCCATAAAATAATTGAGACTGTCCAATGGAAGCTATCCAAGTGATTTATCATGTCTCAATACTGGTGCACATTTTTTTCTTTGTACGCAATTTTTTCACATTTTTTTATTACTAACCATTGTACTGGCATTCTGGCAATATCGCACAAATATAATATAGAATAAAAACAAGCAACAATTTTAGTACTGATTGAGTGATCCTTTGCAATGAAAGAAGAATCAAAATTCCTGCAATCATAAGTCATTGTTCAACTGTGATCTTCTGTGTTATCTTATATCCATTTTATTGGTAAGATACACTGGAAGATACATTGCATCTTTAATTGATCTCTTTGTCATTCATTCTCTATATTGTCTATTTCAAACTGTATATCCAGTTTTGATTTATTACTTACAACAGTATTTGAGCTTTGTGGTAAGTATATATAATTTATAAATGCACAGAATTCTCCATTTTCTTCAGAAATTCTTTATAAAAATAATAAAGTCTTTAGCGGACATCTTTAGTGGACGTGGACCAAAACAATTGTTGCAAAGTGGCCAACAATAGTGGTCTGAGCCACCTGTCGACCTTCTATCCTATACCAACCCTGGTACATCGTCCCTTACACCCCTTTCACGCCAACCTCCTTCGTCTCAAGCTCAACGACCATCAACCCTTTCCAATCAACATCCCCCCTTCCTCATCATGTCACACTTCAAACCCGCTCTCACCTCCGACTACCACCTCGACCATCTCGTTCATTGTCTATAGTTGGTCTCCTCCTTTTACAGGCGTGTCGGGGTTAAAACCCCTTCATAGTGGAGATCAACTCATTGATTACTCCATTTATTATTTACAGACCAGTTTACTATATTTATACCATGTTCACTACTGGGTTTATTAGGTCAAAATAACTCAATTAGGTATTACAAATTTATAGGATTGATGGGATGACTTGTAATACTTTGAAAAATTTGAAAAATTGTGACAATGTAAAAGAAAATACTGCATCTGGTTTAAATTTATTAAGTATAACGATATTTGAGCTTCTTTTGTCGACAGTCTTCTTAATGTTAATTACATGAATACTTTTTGAGATAATTTCCAGTCTACGCAATATTTTCTATGTGCATACATGCCAAAATAATGACATTTGAGACAAAAATTGTTTGTTCTCATATAATGTGTCCAAGCGTTAAGAACATTTCAAGATCATTTCATTCATTATTTTTTGTTCAAATAGAACAATGTATTTTTTTTATTTATCTACCGTAGCAGTTACGAAGAAAAACATGTTATTTTAAAAGACAAACGCAATGGTACAGGAATCTACATCTCTACGTTCACGTGTTAAGTTAAGTGTTCGAAATGGTGACCTTGTATTGCGATACACGGTTTGATAACGATGTTATTGCATTTCGCGTTTTATTTTTGTCTACTGTAACACAAGGTTCTCTTATACAGTCTTTCATATCTTCTTTAGTTATTGACACCTTACTATACACTTGTTATGCTGTGGCTTAGCGGTATGTCAATTGATACCACAATGTATGGAAACAAACGGCATTCCATCGTGTCACACTTCAATTAGAATTGAAATGTAAAGACACAAATTTCTGAACAGTTGTACCTGTCCCTTCAAACCAAATGTTTGTTTCTACAATACCCTTTTAATAATCCTAAATGATTTTCAATTACATTGTATTTGTCTTACAAGCTTCCATTAGGCAATAAATTAAAACAATATTTCCTTCCCTTATCAAAAAAGTAACGATCTTGTCTTAAATGATCCACCTAAACAAATATGAACTTCAATAGAACATAATGAAATAATGACAAAGTTTCAGATGTAGTAAATACTTTTCAGATGTAGTAAATACTTTACAAAAAATATTAACAATTTAATTGGAAGCAAATAATTCATTCATCCTTCTGATACATTCGTAAGCCTCTGTTGCAGGTACTTTCATACAAGTAGAAATTACTTCATAAGTTTTGTAGAAATTGGAAATTTTTGGAGAGCGAGGTATCCTTTGAGTATTTCTGCTGCATTCATAATTAAGCTTAACACACTCATCACAGAAGGCATACAAAATATTTAAGACATTTTGTAGATGTTCAGACTTATGTTGCATATTGTTATTCAAACTTATAAGGTAGGTAATAAATAAATGAGCATAAGGACTATGTTTTATGCTTCCACTAAGCTGATTAAAATTATTAATTAGAGATTGACACACTATTTTCTCCTCTTTCATTCCTTCGAGCGATACAAATGTTGTACAAAAACGCATGAAAGACTTAAATATATATGCAAATAAGTCGTTTGAACCAATAGATGGATGTTCTAAAGATAAACAACATGCTTCTATTGTTATGCGTAAGAAGTCATTGAATGCTTCGATTTCATTATTGCATCCAAAGGCAAACCAATATATTATAGTGAACTCTGAAGCTAATATTTGATATTCTACATCAGTTGTTCGAATGATCATGTGACGCAAAAAATCTTCTCTTAACAAATTTAAATCTGATAAATAATTTCGTAGTCTTTCCGAGGATTTAGGATCCTCTTTCAATCTGTTCAACACAGTGAAACACCGTCTTTCATAATCTGTTACGATATCAATTATACTAACACCTTTCTCTGTTAAATACCAAAGAGAAGCAAAGTGTAATTTGTCTATTGGTTCAATGAAACTTTCAATATCATACATTATTTGCTTTTTCGTACATGCAGAAATTCTGTAACTTTTGGTTTCTAAAAAATATTCCAGTATGCTCGTAATTAGATTAAATATTTCGCTGCTTACAAATTTTAAAATGTTTGCACTTTTTCTTAAAAAACACATTTTTTTTGCAAGAGCTATTATCAAGTTCTTTACATTTGTATCTTTGGTACAACTGACTTGTAATTTACGAATATTATTTAAAACAGAATTGATCACGCGTACATTGAAATTATCGTTTTCTAAATATGGTACGAAAACGTTATTTATTAAATCATTTACGTTAACTATGCTACTGTTTAGTGCAACTTGTGTAAAATCTATAAACTTTTTTTCATTCCACTCGTTATTTTCTATGCAAATAGTTCTTAATATATCTATTAGGAGTATTTCACCGTTACTTTCTTTTAATATAAAAAACGGTGATAACAGAAGCAAATCATTGGCAGAAATCAGAATGTTTTTATATTGGTGATGGCCAATAGTAATTTTCACAAGTATTCCCAATATTAATTTAAGATTCTTTAAAAGGAACAACAAAACAATCTTCAAATTTGTTGGTTTTTGTAAGTTTGAGTTTCGGGATATGAATTCATTAAATGTTTCTTCTGTATGTAAAGATTCTAAAGAATTTTCACCGTCGTGTTTCGTTAAATACATCATTATAATCTCGTAAAGATCTGGTATATCTTGAAGCGATAATATTCTTGTAACAGAACTGTAACAAATCTCTTTTAAACCTTCTTCATTTGATTCCTTCAGAACGAAAGTAAGATATTCTAAAAGATGAAAGCAGTCCTTTTTATCTAGCAAAGATTTGTTTGTATAAACAAAATCAAGTATTGTATTATCCCATTCTTGGTATCGACACAACAATTCTTTCATAAATTCTTTCTTGCCATCAGATATTGCACAACAGAGTTCCTGCAAACTCAGAACAAAACTAGATTGATTAGGATCTGGTTTTGACGACAAGTGTTGTAAGCACTCTATTAAATGTGTATTCTGTGATAATTCCTTGCTCTTCTGCATTAATTCTATAAAATAATAACATTCGTTTCCAATGGCACGTTGCAAAGAAATCATGTTGTTTTCTTCGTCATCTAGCTCTACCCAACCCATGTATACCTCACAGTTGATTTCCTTGACTTTATTGGACAATAAATCCATTAACTGTTGATTTAATGTCATCATAGTACTTTCAATAAGTGTATCTTCACACTTTATGAATGGTTCTCTTCCAAATGTAATATTGTATAATTTTTCAGTGTCTTTTGAAACACAAATTCCTTTGCTTTTGTACTCGAAACAACTTCTTATTGTAGCAATTAATTTTTTAATCATAATACCATACCGGTCACATTCTTTTAAATTTGTTGATGTTGTTAAAGTGAATGCTGGATTTGTTAACAGCAGCAAGAATTCCTCGAAACTTATTAATAAATTTTGTATACTTTTCTCAAGATCTGTTGACTGCATTCCAGTTTCTTTTAATAGAATGAATTTAATATATACATTAAATATTGTTTGATATATACTATCTATGGACCTTCGTAAAGGTAATTCTTCTATACACTGTTTAAGTATTTCAAGTATCTCTGTACACAGATCAAACGGCATGTGTAATATAGACTGAATCAAGATCTTCTCATATTGAAGGCTCCACAATATTTGTACAAGTAAATACGAAGATAAAGGTGGGAACATATCAACTAAATGACCACTGACAATATCTTCTTCTAAACGTTCCTGATTCTTGAACTTAGTGTTCAATAATAAATATGTATATGCCTGAATACACCTTTCATTATTAATCGAAGCTTTCTCTTTTATGGATATATTACTCATCTCGAATATATTAATAATAGTATTACATATATCATCAATATGACCAATGCTCGCAGAAGTTGTGCGTGAAGTGAGAAACTGTAATTCTCCACATTCTTGATTTTTCTTCATAAGATATGTTTGAATTTTTTTGTAAAATTCATTACATTCGTCCATGCTTAACTCTATTCTTGATTATACCAGTTGTAATCGTACATATATTATACGTAATTTTTTTCTCAAGATCAATTCTCTATGTACCAAATCGCTTACGATACTTTGGCATATATGTCTCTGAAAATAAATCAGAATAAACATGACTATCAATTAGCAAGTTACAAATATTAATAAGATAAGTGATTAATTACAATAATCGATTATATAAATTATGTTCGTACTAAAATACGTAAATCATTCAAATAGCATAAACAAAAATAGATAAAGAAGACGTGCCTTACCTATCTTATCTTATAGTTTTATTTTCAAACAACGTTTACGATACTAACGAATTAGATAACTTCGTACGTTCCCTTTCTCTTTACAATTAATTGAGAAATATACCGGCACTGATAATATTTTTTTGAGGTTACCTCACGAACAAATAATTTATATAGAAAAAAAGCACGTGGAGTTTAAACAAATTTGTTCAAAAAACCAAAATGGTTCGTGCGTGGTATATGGACAATAGTGATGCTGATCAACGACTGGAACACTATAAAGAACCTCCTGAATTTCTCTCTCTCGAAGACTTATTCAAAAAGACAGGAGTCGAATATTTTAAGGTTAGGTCAAACTTCAATATTCAAATGATATTTCTGTAATTATTCCTATATGATATTCTTGGACAATTCTATAATTACTTTGTTCATTTTGTGACTTAATAATTATATGTAATTTTAATTACTTCAAATAATTCCAAAGACTAATTATCTTGAAACTTGATCTCTGTATGGTATTGAAGAAATTGCGACGCATTAAACTATATTTTAATTATTATTTATTTAGATCGATTGCAAAGACTACAAAAATGATGATACATTGGTGGAATTGAAAAAAAAACGAGGCTATACATATGAAGATGAAATACAATGTTCTAGAGACTGTCTTCCAAATTATGAAGAGAAAGTAGGTTAAATTTATTTGATTACATACATATTATATTCATATATTCATGAGTAATAATTAAATGTTATTTGAAATATTTAGTTAAAGAATTTCTTTACTGAACATCTTCATACCGATGAGGAAATAAGATTGATATTGGATGGATCAGGATATTTTGATGTTCGAGATTTGAATGATCAGTGGATACGTATCGAAGTTACAGGTGGAGATTTGATCATTATTCCTAGTGGAATATATCACAGATTCACTTTGGACATCAATGTAAATATTTATTGTTAAATTAAATTAAACAGTACATTTTATTTACTAGTATTTACTCATTTTCTACTTTTTTTAGAATTATATAAAAGCAAAACGTTACTTCGTGGGAGAACCTGTTTGGCTGCCTTACAATAGACCAGCAGATGATATGGAGTGTCGTAAAAATTATCTTGATCGTTTGTACAAAAATTTTCAAGGATAATCTGTTGATAATCCCCTTTGTAAATACAATAATCGGGGTTCACAGTAAGATTTACATAATATCTACCTAATGCCTTTTAGATTACATTCCACAACAGTAAAGAATGCAATTGATAATAATTCTTTTAACTTTAGTATCACTGGAATATCCCATTATTATATTTTACATGAATACATTTTATAAAAAATGTTTTACATTGTAAATAAATGTTGATCATGTGGTACATATTTTGTAATTTCATGTGTGTTATATATAAAGTTTTATCAAAAAGCTTTCCATTTATCTCTACTTCACAAAAATTACTTCTTATCGTTTAAAATGCAATCTTGTATTTTTACTAAATTATGTACATACATACAAAAGCCTTATTTAGCCGAATACTGAGATATTTATACAACGTCTTTATTCTTGACCATTTGTTTTAAACACGGACATGCGTGCATTTCTGTACAAATTTAATTTACATATTACTTTGGGAAGTTTCAAACTTTCACTTGTTTAAGTTCGATATTTGCAGATAAAATTCGTCTCTATTAATCAATAACAGTTATAGTCAACATTTTATCTAACATATAGCATTACACAAGACAATATCACACTTAATGCACACTTATTCTAATTTCGAGAGAAACGTAAAAAGATACTTACACATACATGTGTTGGAGCATCAATTTCATCGTCGAAAAATAAAAGATCAAACGAAACAAAAAAAAATAAATACTACTACTATCATTTTTCAGGACCTAATTATAACGAATCAGATCGGTCCGCGTAAGAAAAAAGACACAAGAAAAACAGTTTGTCTTTATCTATATGGATATTTAAACTAAGTATCTCTGGTAAATACGAAAACTCAAGGAGAGATCTTACCGCATTTTTTTAACCTTTTACACTCCAAAGGCTCACTTTGCGCGCTATGCAAGTCTGTATAGCAACTTCTTGGTCGATGATATACTGAGTCAATTGCACACGACTTAGAGCTGCTGAGACAAGACTGACGAGATCCCCTGGAGCGCAGAGTCATTCCATCGTTATTTATTCAATTAAAAGTCAGCGTTAACCGTGAAACTGTTTTCTATTTTGCTTTGCATAACTCCCCACTTCTGATACTCTCCAACTTTCTTTTCGAAGAAGTTCGTTTTGCCTTCCAAGGAAATATGCTCCATGAAGTCAAACGGATTCTCAGATAAATAAATCTGAAAATTGAGGAATAATATATTGATTAATGAACAAAAATCTAGATTGATATTATTACTGCTTTATATGATAATAACTTTACACACCTTTTCGCAGCCTAGCTCAACAAGTAATCTGTCTGCAACAAATTCAATGTACTGACACATAAGCTTGCAATTCATGCCAATCATTTCGACGGGTAAAGCATCTGTTAAGAATTCTTGTTCAATTATAACGGCATCTTTAATGATCGATATGACTCGTTCGCACGATGGTTTTTGTACGATATGTTTAAACAATAAACACGCAAAGTCGCAATGTAATCCCTGAAAAAGATTGAACGAAGCTTGTTAATTGTTTCCATGTAAATTTTTATCTTCTATATGTATTTAGTTTTCAAATATATTAACCTCATCTCTAGAAATAAGTTCGTTGCTGAACGTTAGACCTGGCATAAGACCTCTCTTCTTCAACCAGAAAATAGCGGCGAAGCTACCACTGAAAAAGATACCTTCCACGGCAGCAAATGCAACTACGCGTTCAGGAAAAGTGGCAGTTTCATGATTTATCCAATTTAGTGCCCAATTGGCTTTTTTTGCAACGCAAGGCAGATTTTCGATCGCGTTAAATAGGAAGTCCCTATAAATCGTAAATTCGATATTATTATTAACAAAAATACAAAATAAAAAGGAATTTCTATTGAATGATTATATTGCATTTACTATTTACCTTTCTTTGACGTCCATAATATAAGTATCAATCAACAAAGAATACATTTCTGAATGCACATTTTCCATGGCAACTTGAAAGCCATAAAAACAACGTGCTTCCGTTACTTGCACCTCCTGACTGAATCGTTCAACAAGATTTTCATTCACGATTCCATCAGAGGCGGCGAAAAATGCTAATACGTGAGATATAAAGTGCTTCTCGCTGTCGTTTAAAATGTTCCAATCAAGGATATCCTGCAAAAAATATAAATATTACAACTACCCTTTCAGATATTTTTAAATAGACAAATACTCCAAATACAGAAATTATACCTTGGACAGGTCTACTTCTTCCACGGTCCAAAAAGAGGCTTCAGCTTTTTTGTACATGTCCCAAATGTCAGGCCACTGTATGGGGAAAACCACGAATCTTCGTGGATTTTCCTTAAGTAATGGTTCCAATTGTGGATCAAACTCATCTTCCTTCAATTGTACTTTTCTTACAGCTTTTGTCTTGACCATCTAATGAAATGCATAAATGTTATCAGAATATTTTTCCTGACAAGCATGGTTAATTCATGTTACAGAATAAAATTGTTTACCTTCTTTTTTGCTCCATTCTCTTGCAAAATAGTTGGCGAAACACATAATTTTTTGGGGGATGTCTGGAAAAAATAAAATTCGTTGTAAACAATACCAATAAAACTATTTTTTTAATACTCATGGTACAAAATATAATTTATATATTTTTGCAGAAATGAAAATAATTTAATTGTAAAGCTCCAATTAAATTTATAACTTACAAAAGGTGGATGGATCTTTCCAAACAATATTACAAGTAAAGATACTACACACATGATCATGAAATTAATCATCCTATTACATTGCACAATAATTTGCAACAATGCATGGTTTGTCATGAAGAATTATGTGTATAAGTTTATTCAAACAAATTTAATATTTAATGTGTTAAATGTGCTAGAGGATCAACTGGAAGCTGAAATTGACTTAAATAGTATCTGATTGCTGAAGAGAATGTATATTATATAAATGAGAAATTTAAAATGTATTATAAGTTTCATGTCCTTCACCTCTTCAGGGACAATTCCTTTTTGTTATTATCAAATTTTTGTTCTTTTTATTATTGACAGTAACTATAATTATAAAAAACTAAATGTCCACATGTGTGCCAAGAGCATAAAGAGCATGAAGTGCTTAAAAATAAATTTCCTTCATTTTTACTTACAGAAAGCTGAATATTATTGCAATTAATTATCAAAGGAACATAACCTTGTATACTACATACCATCCCACACATATTTCATTAAAAGCAATGCTTCTCTAGATTTTTGTCAATCCACGAACAAAGATATTTAATTACACTTTTAGACATAAAACAATTTTTACATAAAATTACGTCAACCAAACATTTTTTTATACTGGAATCACACTGAGTACATGTCAAAGTAGTAATTGTTTATTCATTCGCTATTACAAACTAAAAACAACAACGTCAGTAGTTTAATTACAATTTGTCATTATTTATGAAGGCAGAATTTATTTATTTAGAAAAGAACAAGAAAATTTCGAGACTAGAAAATGTTTGATACGTCGGCGTGATCACGTTTCGTGTTGAATGTATTCGCTAAATACATAAAACAGAGATTATGAAAAGATATAATAATGAATATTATTGTAATGAATCTAGAATGATTTGAGATTTGTAAAATTTATAAAAGTACATATATGTAAGGACGTGTAAAATTAACTAGTTTTATTAATCGCACGCTTAGTTCGTTTAAAAATATTATAAATACATCTAATATATATATATATAAATGATTATATTTTAGATATTTATTTATATTCAGACATGTTTAGTGTTAAAGTTGAACAGAGATCATTTGATGGATACAAAAGTATGTTAATACTCACTTTTTTCTTCAGAGAAACATTCTCGAGACGCTTGAAGATATCTTCCTTCCTCGAAACTTGAAATGGCATTTTGAACGTTGCTAATTGTCACAGAAAAAGCAAACTGAATACTTTTGTTAGAAGTTCTTGGTAAGATACCGTACTCGTCACGTATCAGTCAGTATCAGTTACTTGAATGTCAGAAAAGTATTACTGTAGACACTCCCATTGGAGCTGATTCGTTCCGTTTCGCGCCAAACTGCTCTCAACCAATCAGCTGAGCCTCTTTTCCCGCCTAAAAGTATCAGATTTCATAACACTGATGAATACGCATATATCAGTGAATGATACCTGCTCGAAAATTCATTAAATTAATCTTATTCATTTTTTGAAAGAAGTTAGGCATAACAAACCTAATATAGAGATATTTGGTTTCCCGCGTATTTTGTGCGATTGCGTATAACGCTCAGAGAAAAGGGCCGATCTTCAACGAAAAATATATAAGGGAAGTTTCCAAAGTTCATGAAAGGCGAACACATAGAAAAAGAAAAGAAATTTTTGTGATGAAGATATGCCTTTATTGAGTCATGTCCTTTATATGTAGTATAAAAGAATATAATTATTTTGCGTGGAAAGTTAATTGGCTATTTGAAATATAATTTATTTGCCGACAGACTCATTTATTGATATGGCTGGTAAATATATGTACAGGGTGTCTCAAAAATGTTGTAACACCTTGAGAGGTGGTTCGGGAGGTGATTTGAAACAACTTTTTCCTTAGCGAAAATGTTGTCAGAGGTTTCGTTGAAGAGATATTAACGAAAAACACTGACCAATCAGAGCGTTCACGGTAGCGTATGAGCGCCGCCGCCTATCGCGTAGCCTACGCTCACCGGTATACTCGCGCTCTTATTGGTCGAGGTTTTTTGTTAATATCTTCGTAACGAAGCCTCGGACAACATTTTCGCTACGGAAAAAGTTGTTTGAAATCACCTCCTGAACCACTCCTTTTAAGGTGTTACAACATTTTTGGGACACCCTGTATATGGTATAATAATATAACAAGCAATTTATGAAACCTCTCAACATGAACAATCGTAAACACGATTTAACGTCACATTAATATCATTTTATACGCCATAAAATAAAGCATTGTAATTATTAAAATTAATTTATTATCGAAATTAATATGGAACATCTTGGATGCAAAGACTCCGTGACAGCGAAAAATCTCAAATTTGAAAGAGCGCCATTTTATGTTATCGCGACAGATTTGGTTAATTGAATGCCTCTATGAAGCTCGCTAATTCGAATATTAACTTTTTTTAGTTAGTATTCGTACAAGTAAATCATTCTTCTCAGGAACATGTTCACCATGAAAGAGTGAATCTTTACAAATCACGGATAGATCGTGTTCGAAAGCAGTTTTGTTTTAAACCCCTTGGATTTCGAGGTTAGTGTCGAAATCGCAGTGTTATTTCCTCCGTTTGTTGATGATTATGAAATTACATCAAAGCTAAATGAAAAATAATATCATGACTAGGATCTTGTAAAAGACTTTAATTACATGTTTATCTTGCAGTAGCTTTAACAGTTATATTATTATGTAAACATAAACATTCGAACATGTTAATTACAATTTTATATTTAGTATGGATTCGTTTTAGTGGAGAAAATACACAACAGTATGGCTCTACACAGCGTACCGCCTAAAAGGAAAGAAATTTATAAATACGAGGCACCATGGCCTTTGTACAGTATGAACTGGTCTGTCCGTCCTGATAAACGATTTCGTTTGGCTCTTGGTAGTTTTGTGGAAGAATACAACAACAAAGTACAAATAGTTTCCCTTGACGAAGAGACTTCTGAATTCAGTGCCAAAAGTACTTTCGATCACCCCTATCCGACTACAAAGATTATGTGGATACCAGACAGCAAAGGTATTATTATTCTATTTATTTTTTTCATGTTAATCTCCATAACTTAAATTAATTTTCCATTTTTATTAGGTCTGTTTCCTGACCTCCTGGCTACATCCGGAGATTACCTGAGAGTGTGGCGAGCAGCTGAACCAGAAACACGATTGGAGTGTGTTTTAAACAATAATAAGAATTCAGACTTCTGTGCTCCCCTTACATCCTTCGATTGGAATGAGGTGGATCCAAATTTAATCGGTACTTCGAGTATAGATACCACGTGTACGATCTGGGGCCTGGAAACAGGACAAGTTTTGGGTAGAGTCAATATGGTCACCGGACACGTGAAGACGCAGTTAATTGCTCATGACAAAGAAGTATATGATATAGCGTTTAGTCGCGCTGGCGGTGGTCGTGATATGTTTGCATCTGTTGGCGCGGATGGTTCCGTAAGAATGTTTGACCTACGACATTTAGAACACTCAACGATAATCTACGAGGATCCGCAGCACACGCCTCTTCTAAGACTGGCGTGGAACAAACAGGATCCTAATTATCTCGCGACGGTAGCGATGGATGCTTGCGAAGTGATTATTTTAGATGTCCGAGTCCCGTGTACACCGGTCGCAAGGCTAAATAACCATAGGTATGCGACTCATTTTATTATCTTAACATTTGCTTTATTACACCTTGTATCCTTGAAAATACTTTTCAATTTTCATCTCATTTTTTAGAGCGAGCGTCAATGGAATAGCATGGGCGCCACACTCGTCTTGCCATATTTGTACAGCGGGAGACGATCATCAAGCATTAATTTGGGACATACAACAAATGCCAAGGGCTATCGAGGATCCGATCCTTGCTTACACAGCTGCAGAAGGAGAAGTGAATCAAATACAGTGGGGCGCTACGCAGCCCGATTGGATTGCAATTTGTTACAACAAAGCTGCAGAAATCCTTAGAGTATAAAAAAAGTATTTTCTACTAGGTTTCCATTTTCTCAGATGTAACAAAATTTCTTTACGAATTGTTACTTAAAGTCATTTGGGATCACCATTTTATTTCAATATTTGTATGGATGTAAGCTCCTGCCATCCGTTTTTATTACTTTTTTGTACCTGTAAAATAGACATGTACAAATACTAGTTATTTTGTCAAATATTGAGAATTCAATAAGGAAAATGCTTGAACGATCCGGGTCTATTACGATATAGCGCACGGATATCTCGTAATCAAACAATTATACAGAGTTCAACTGTATTTGTAAAAAATTTTGAATCGATTTTAATCATTTTATACGATTTAATTAGTTTTACGAGTCTAAATTATTTAAATAAGGCCAGGCCGAAAATATCAAGTATATGTACATGTTAATGTAACAAGAATGCAATGTATTATCATTGTGCCACTGATATTTATGTATGTATTTAAAGTCCTCAGGATTATCAAGCAAATGTACACTTGATCAACTGAAATGATGCAAATATAGAAAAGCTCATTGAACAATAGTTAAAGGTTAAATAGTAGTATAAAATTTGTATAAGATTTCGTACATCTTCAATAATCAATAAATGAATATCATTGCATTCTGGAGATACACGATATATAGAGACTGACGAATCACATGTATATTTATAATAATGTAAATGATCGTGATTGATGTATTTTATTTTGTAACTATATACCGATGATTATCGATTAAATTAAAAACAATTATAAATTTATCCATTTTGCAAAGGGATCGTAAAATAGCCGAGAAAATTCGAACAAACGTTTTTCATTAAATGGAACAAAATGAAATATATCAGTTACGTTACACGATTGTATATATGTTTATATTTACATACTTACTTGATTTTGTAGAAAATAATAGAATATAATAATAGGTTTTCCATATTCTCGTCTTATTTAAAATATATACGGAAATTATTATTATATTATAGTACGTGTGTGTATTCATAATATAATAAGAGAGGAAGAAAACGTTAAACTCTTTTATTACAATGACAAAACTTATAGTGGTAGTATTGGTGATACTAGAATTAGTAACGAAACAACTTATGTGATAATATGATTACATACTTACGAGTTTTCAAAATCTTTAAGATGTAAGATTATGTCATGAAATTGTAATTAAAAAGTAGTTTTTTTATACGTAAATTATTTAAATTAGTACGAAGGAAATTGAAATGCACTAATAATACATTCATTAAGAATCATATCTTCCATAGACGACGTAACATGATAGGATTCATAATTGACACACTACGAATTTTAAAAAAAAGCAGAATTTATATTAATGTCCGATGTATTATAATTTACAGTTACGCAATGGGCGAGATGCATTATTTACAATAATGAAATGCGAGTACATGAGTCAGAATATTAGCCAATTGAAATACATTAATTTTTTTCGCAATTAATCTCGTGTTTGTTTTTAATAAAATATCTGACGACTTCATACAGCTGTAAGATCATACTATTATGTACTACCGCTACTTTAATAAATATGATTAACTCTGATACAGAGTAAGCTCTTCATTACCTACCAGTATAGTCAGTGATATTTTTCCGAATGTTCCAATTAATCGATCATACGATATAATATCAATAAATATTTACATGTCGCTACGTCAATTATATTTTTTAAAGTATTGTTAATAGTAATTTACAATAAACTTTGGTAAGAATTAGTGTCCCAAAGATCCTAGGATAATCGTCTAAATTTCTCGTGCACACTGGTTTAGACAATAAAGACAATAAACACAAGTACACTTTCACTCTAAACCACATTTCACTGATTTTTTAAACATTCATTCTTTTTAAATAACAAAATTATATTTAAACAAATTTTTTGTCCAGATGCATACGTGTAATCCACACATACGCACATTTCTAGAAAAAAAAGAGTGCAATTAATAATAAGATACCGTCGTTCTTCGAACTTTTATTATAATTAATGCATCGCGTTGATAATAAATAAAGAAGTCATGTTTTTCATATTCATTTAAATGTTCCTAAGGTTTCGCAATTGAAATTTCTACGACAAGAACGTGGCTAGATTACACCGAATGCTCGTTCTATAGGCTCATAGATCAAGCGCAGTTTCTATTTTTAGAATTCTCGTTCACCTTTCAGAACACAGGAAAAATTCAAAGCATATTTTGTTGTACAATTCACCAACATAATATGGGTTCATTATTTTCCTTTCAAGAGAATGTACGTCAGATACTTTCATTAAAAATTGCTGACGTTCGCGAAAATTAAAATCATAAGAGCATTCTTCCTATACTCAGAATCAAACACTAAATGTTGCTCAATGTTTTCTCATTAAAATAGCGTTGAAACAGTGCTTATTATTTTGGAAATTCTGAATAAATACGTTCAGTAAAATTAGCATAGGCTCTCGTGGTTTTAAAGAACGCACAATTTGCTTGCTATGTAATATAAATGCAAAACTGTACACCCCATGGTCAGCATATTCCCCATCGCGATGGAAACGTGAACACGACGGAAGGCGTTGTGCATTCTTAAGTAATGTGGACAGTGCTTCAATGGGCCTGGGTTGTGGCGACCAATTTCATTTCCCACTCCGGCGGCACGTTCTAAAGTGTTCTTTTGCACTATTAATTGCAAAAGTGGTGGTGTCAAGTAGAGTCGTATCAACAACTCTAGAAAAAATGCACCAGTCATTGCACCAACCTGAAAATATTATTTTCATTTTAGTCATCAAGTACAATATGATATGTACATTCTTCAATTTTTGAGGAATATATTATTTATTATTCTACAAACCTGAATAGCAATTTCGGTATCCCATGTATGCGCTGGATGATGTTTAATAAATATAAGAAGGGTAGTGAGGCTGAGACACGCGTTGATGGTGAAGTATCTAGGGAACAGAATGCGTTGCACTTCACCAAATACGTGTCTTGGTAATGCGAAGTATAGAGAAAGACCTGCAAGAGTAATAATTTAAATAGTAAGCAAAGTAACAGGTAAAGTAACAATTGTACTGTAAATTCATATTTTTTGTATGCATACCTGAGACGAAAGTCATCCAGATTTGGGCACCAAGATGCATCACAAAGGAAGCTAAGTAAATGAAGGAGGCTGCTCTGGAGTGAGGATGACCAGCAGCTTGCACTCTGTCTTTGATTGGGACCAGAGCTGATGTCACGCACAACACTGCTGCTATCATTATTACATGAGCTGGTTGAGTTGTGTAAAACAAAATTCTGGAAAAGAGAAAACGAAATTTTACATTAGTATCGTAAGCTGAAAGCTAGATTTTTAAAAAAATTTATTTTTTATCTTTACAATAATCCCTTTCAACTTGATATTTTTTATTAATTTTCCCCTATTTAGTTTATGTTCTAATTATTATTTGTCATTGGTCCAGATACTAAAAATTTATTATAGACACTAATATTTGTACATAAATCGAGGATTGCTCGATCCATCATTCCCGAGTTAACGATCTATAATTTTCCATAACAGGGTGACCATTAGCACCATTATCATCTTCAACGGGGATCCGTTCCATTAATTCGAACTGCGTCGAATATCTATAATTACGATTGGAACAACGAATCTCTTGTAAGCTTGGTTACATTAATAATCTTTCATTTCCAGATAAATCGACATGTTTAGACTTTATCGTTAATGCAATGAATAAATTTCCCTGCAATTTCAGTAGAAGACAAACAAAGCAATCTTCAAATATATTATGATCTGTTCAAATTTAAAAAACAAAAATAAATTTATTCATTACTGCTCCCTAGGCTTGATCGAATTGAAAATTGTCTGAAAATTCGCGCTAACTTGATCGATACAATTTACACGACTCGCGTGACCGACTCTGATTATCGAATCCGGTTCTCCGTTAACTTCACTCACACGAGACTCGAGCGACATCACGTCAGGCGCCAGACCACGCGATACCAGATGTTATATCGTCTGAGTCAACAGTCCACTTAACCCCTTCGTGCTAGTAAATCGATGCAGTGATTATTTTCTAAATAACAGTTTGTTTCGTCGTAAATAAGATGAAATTGGAAGTGGTTACAAGGGACTGTGTTCCGATATGAAAGAATAAAAGGAAAATGCACATATACTTTTATACTGGGTAGGAATTTTACCTATCTCTGATTCATACAGTCTCGTCACAGTTCATGTGTGTATTCACACCTGTTGGTTTACATTGACGTATGCGAGTATTTGCCACTTCACTCCTGTTCTCAAACACGTGGCATGCAGAAAAAGGTCAATGAAACCGCGATTTGTTCTCTGGTTTAGTTTTATATAACATTATGTAACAATTGGATAATTCAGTTAGGACAACTATCAGCGATTCGCTCTACGATTTGTGTCTTTTTCGTAATTCTTAGAAAATTATAATTTATATATATACATTTACAATTGTATATGTACATCAAATAATGAATGAAACTGTACTGTTGCATTTTTATAAGCTACATAAGTATGATCAAAGGTTCTTGTCGGTAACTAAGAAGAATGACCTGAGTGGCACACTTGACTCAAATGATTCCGTCTATACCATCACTGATGCACGGAAGGCCTAAGGCTTCCGAATGGTAGAATCAGATTGGCGACGCGTATTCAACCAATTGGAAGCTTCATGTCTTCTCTGCGTCCGTGGTATGAATGATATCTTTGTTCAAATAATTTTCGTGGCAATTGTGACGTCTGTCTAAAAACTTTACGAATAGTTTGACACTAATGCAACATAATGCATTTATAAGATTGCATGCAAATAGGGCAACCCCAAATCCTTCAAAAAAGAATTCAAGAATTCAAGAAAATTCAACTCAGCAGTGGAAAGAGCCTCACCCGATGTATCGAAATATCAAGTTGAGAAAAGAATCTGAGAAATGAATCAGATCGACGTTACCTCGACGTACATTTCCCTTGTTTGTTCTTTCGCGAACAAACAAGCTCAGACGGTAAGTATGTTAATTCTCAGCTCCCGAGATAATGTTGCAAAGAAGCGACGCGTCGTGTCGCAACAGCACGTAAAATAAAAGTCAAAAATATATGGATCAAAAGATAAAACGATTGCTTCGTCCGTGAAGTCGCGGCGCGACGGATGGACAGAAAAATATGCCACGAACTCATTGTCGAGCACCGCGTGCGAACTATAAAACATATTTGCCGAGGGCTTGTCGGCGCAAACACGGGAGCATTCAATATTTACCGCCAGACTGCCATATCGATGTAATCAATTCGCACGTAGCCCGTGGACTGGTTGCATCATTTCTCCGTTCATTATGAAAGGTCCACGTGTGCGCGTAGAGCGTCGATACATATTTCGAAATCGAAATCTTATTTGTGGAAATACTTTAAATCGACCCCAGAAAATCGATCGCTTGATGGAAAAATCATGTAACCATATACGAATTTACGTTATACAGGGTGTCCCAAAAATGTTGTAACACCTTGAAGGGGGTGGTTCGGGAGGTGATTTGAAACAATTTTTTCCTTAGCGAAAATGTTGTCCGAGGCTTCGTTGAGGAGATATTAACGGAAAACAGTGACCAATCAGAGCGCGACTATGCCGGTGGAGCGAAGGCTACGCGCTAAACAGCCGCGCTCATACGCTACCGCGGCCGCTCCACCGGCATACTCGCGCTCTGATTGGTCAGTGTTTTCCGTTAATATCTCTTCAACGAAGCCTCGGACAACATTTTCGCTAAGGAAAAAGTTGTTTCAAATCACCTCCCGAACCACCCCCTTCAAGGTGTTACAACATTTTTAGGACACCCTGTATAAATTAACAAACTAGAATTAGTAAGCAGTTACAGAGTCTCGTGATTCTCATCATCGAGTTGAAAAACTTGCGGTTCCTCTGAGATCCACTTTCTATTTTTATCCAGCAATTCTTTTGTTGGGAGTATGGCATTACACAAGAAAGGGGGTCACGATTTATCCCAGTGACAGTAATATTCTGTGGAGAGTTTGTTCTACGGGAAGCAGTAAGTAGCGCTGTCTACGATTATGTGGACACACGTGGTTCAACGTTTGCGTGCAAATAGATGTCATTTTTTATTGCACATTAGGTTCGAGGCTTTCTTGGTCGGTGTTATATTACATTTAGCACCGTTCGGTGGTCGTCTGCGAGGATGTTGCGGCGTTTCGTCACGATTGTAAATAATACCTGTTCATTATTATCGAAACGTTTTTACGGAACGTGTTTGTTCAAGTAACGGAAGATTTTTACAGTTATAGCTTCGGTAACCGTTTTAATTATAAAAAATTCGTTCGTTAAACATTCTAAATTTTACGCAACAAAGAACGGCTAAACAATTCTTCGTCTTTTAGTAGCTATTCGAAATTTAGGTTTAAATAAGAATTTTGCCAGTCACTGGACCCGTTCATCGTGGAAGGAATTTTTAATGTGTTTTTCTTAGCACGGAAGGTTCTTGACCGATCGCTTCCAGCGCGCTGTATGCTTTTCGGGGAATTCCAGAACAGGATTATGCACTCTGTAGCATAAGGACACTCGTATGAACTATCGAGGTTAGTAAATCAACTCGTGGCGTTCTTCCTTCTTCCAAGGAAAGATAAATTTGAACGTAAAACGAAAAACAAATTGTTTATCAAGAGGGATGCTAATTTATTTCTCGAGGTTAACAATCTACAAGTTTACGAGGTAACCACGAAGACTGTATAAGGAGTCCTAACTGTGTAGTGTAGAAGTGTTATCAAAATCCCGAGCTTGACGTTATGAATACGGCGCGGGTGGTCATTTCGTCTCGAAGTACGCGCAATTGGACCCACTTTGTGCCTCGATTATTGTGCGAAGACGTACGTCGATCAATCATGCTTCGAGACGAACGACAAATCACTCGGTTGCGATATTTCGACACGCAATTTCGCGTTCTCCATTCGTGCACGCTGCATCTCTCTATTTATACTTCGAAGAGTAGTCACGTAGACGTGACGACGTCAGCACGACGTCACACATTGGTTCGCTATGCCACGGAGGCGTGGCTTAGCCAGTTAGTAGTCACAGGATGCAGTTTATTGGCCGCAGGAGTCGCGTAGGCGTGACTTCTAATACTAACGTTAATTTTTTTAAAATTACACTATTTTAAACATTTTTCTTTGCAGAATAGAGATGTAAAGTTATCGATGAAAGATTATTTAGAAGATATATTTAGAAAAAATCCTTTTTCTACTTGATTCGAGCATGAGTCAACGATTATATTTTTCTTCCTAGAGGTGCAATGCAAGCAACAAATTTATGAAAGCGCCGGATCACTGATAGCAGCGATACCGTCAATGAAACCGTAGAGGCAGCATTGATAACAGCTGTCTACGGTAGGTAACGTTATCCCGGCCGTTTCGTGATTACATCAATCATTCTGGATCATCGGGCAGCCAGTGTTAACTTTCTCACATCAATTATTTACAACTCTATTCGAGGGTCAAGCCAAGGCATTCTTTTCAAATTTATCTCTCTGCTTCCCCATTTTGTAATTGTTTAAATATCCTGAAAATATCGAATAAAAGAATTAATTCAATTCCAGTACTAGTTAATTACAAGTAATTAGAAAATTATAGAAGAGGAAGAGTATAACGTATTAGGTTGTCCCAAAAGTTTCTTTCGTTTTATTAATAAGAATACATGCACAATATTTTATGTTTTATGTTACATATTACTGAATTGTGCACGATTCATTTTGCTCCATTACTGTTACAACATGAATATCTATGAAATTAGATTATTTATATAAACACGACCTAATATATGTATAAACGCTAGTATAAACGTGTTCGACTGTTTTTCTCGTTCCAGGAGATTCCACCTGTGAAAGGGACCCGGTATCGATATCTGCACAGTCGTAATTCGACTCGCAAATGCGCGAGCATTTCTGCCAAGCGTTCTGCACGCTCGTGTTCTTAAGCATAAGCCTGCAAGATATAGTCCATCGGGCATTATGAGGTATGAGCAAGTTATCAGTAGGCACCGAGAAACGTGCAAGATGGCACGCACGCGCTACCTTGCAATTATAATCCAGATTTCAACGTTGATCAAACAATGCCTTTGATTTGCATACCCGAAACGAAACGGGGAGCATACGAACGGTTGTTTCGAGCCAACCTAACCTGACCAAAGCACTCTGCCTGACTCTGCCTATATCATACTGTGATTTTGACGAGATGCATGGAGATATCGTAGATAGGTTTGTGTAAGTAAGTGGAAATGTCCCAAGCAGGTAGGAGTCAGACTATCATTTTGCTGTAAGGTTAGCTTTGTACAGCATTGTATAGTAGGGTACCACTGTTATTTTCTTTTTTTAGCTGTGGTACATCGAAAGATCATACCTGCCCTCCTCTATCTACAATATCTCTATGGATTCCTATCAAGAAATAATTATACGTCTCCATAAACAAGCCAATTACCGTTCGATATCTTCAATCATCCCGCACCGTGTAGAACCCACGCTCCGCACGTGTGGTGCTTGTGCAATTTGGGGAATAATCATGACCGATATTCGCAATCAAATTCGAAGTCTGTTATCGCAACTAGTGTGTTTTTACAATAAACATCGATGAATTCTGACCTTCCTGTAAGATAACAGCCCCCATCGACAGATTAAGACGATTTATTGCTGCAAATTTGACACGCGCATTCGCGCGAATATACAACCGCGAGACGAACGCTCTTATTTTAGGGCGAACGCGTTAATCGACGATGAACGACTTCGACGCACGTCGTATTGCACGCGTCCACTTTCAACCCCGTTGTAAATTCGAGACGAGACTTTTGATAGAGCGCCAGCTAAAGCTTTCGGCCAAATGTTCGCTGTGATTACAGACATTAACATTCCTCGCAGACTACCTGTCATTTCTTGCGAAATGGGCGCCCACGGGGGGGAAGAAAGGTTTCGGGTCTCCCCCCCAAGACAAGAATTATCCATGAATAATTCCGTCTCGGAATTCCCTACCGCAAATAACCGGGGGATTTTTCGCGATGCAGTTTGCAATTGGAATTAGCAGTTAGAAGTCGAATACGTTCGTTCGTTTTTTATGGGAGTTTCTAAATTGATTCCGAGTATACAATTGGCTACCTGGTTATTACTTATAATTCTAATTTTGGTTTGTAGATATACAGGGTGTCCCAAAAATGTTGGAGGTCATTGAAAGGGTGGTTCGGGAGGTGATTTGAAGCAACTTTTTCCTTAGCGAAAATGTTATCCGAGGCTTTGTTGAGGAGATATTAACGGAAAACACTGACCAATCAGAGCGCGCGGATACTGTTGGAGCGGCCGCGGTAGCGTATGAGCGAAGCCGGCTAGCGCATAGCCTACGCTCCACCGGCATACTCGCGCTCTGATTGGTCAGTGTTTTCCGTTAATATCTCCTTAACGAAGACTTGGACAACATTTTCGCTAAGGAAAAAGTTGTTTCAAATCACCTCTACCCTGTATATATAGGGTGCCCCAAAAATGTTGTAACACCTTGAAAGGGGTAGTTCGGGAGGTGATTTGAAACAACTTTTTCCTTAACGAAAATGTTGTCCGAGGCTTCGTTGAAGAGATATTAACGGAAAACACTGACCAATCAGCGGGCGCTCCATTGGCATACTCGCGTTTTGAGTGGTCGGTGAGCGCGGCCGCCTAGCGCGTAGCGTACGCTACCGCGAGCGCTCCACCGGCATCCTCGCGCTCTGGTTGGTCAGTGTTTTCCGTTAATATCTCCATATAGAAGCCTCGGGCAACATTTACGCTAAGGAAAAAGTTGTTTCAAATCACCTCCCGAACCATCTCTTCAACGACCTCCAACATTTTTGGGACACCCTGTATTCGTCGTTTCATAAAATTACCCACCGTGAAGCACGCGCTTCAATTGAATAATCGACGAGTAATTAAATGTCACTTTACCGCTATCTGGGTAAAGGCTATGCAAATAACGCGTCAAGCGCATGCGCAGGCTGGTGTTAATTGTCGGTACTTTCGCTTCGACTAACAACCGTAACCGTTCATTTTCTCACGCGTCATGATTAACAGACGATGACTTTCAAAATCGTTGAGCACCTGCGACAAGGTTGAGAAAGCCAGCTGGGCGGCAAAAAGTGGCGGAATTAGGAAACGAAAACAGGTTTCAGGAATCCCCGAGCTAACATTTCGCGGTCCCCGATAACATACTGTAACATACTGCCAGAGAATTTTTCCTGTATCTGCCAAAAAGAAATCATCGCGTGACTAACCTAGACGATCGTGTTTTATCCTTGTCACGCGCAGAAACAAGTATTTTCGTGTTTGATGGACGGCCAAAAATTGTCTCGACCTGTTTCCAGTTTCTAAAAATATTTTTTTTTATTACTTGTTCTACTTAAAAACATATTTATCCAAAAGAAAAACGTAATTGTGACGCACGTACGTGCTTATCTGAATTGTCTGTGACGTTAGATGTCGTTATCAAACTTGCATTTCTTGCGTAACCGACGCAGATTCCTAAATACCTTCGTTTCGCGCGCTCGATGAAATGTGTGTCGGTATGCCATTCCGTTTGTCTTTCTTTTACGCGTGCGCGAAACGGTGCATTCCCAGAAGCTGTCGCGCACGTGTCTAGAATCAACGCCAATGACACGCAATTATTACTCGACGCGACTAATTTTAGTCGCGTGTGAATGCACTTTAACAGCGAAACGCGATAAATTTAACGTCGCGTCTCTATTTTTGCTATCGGAGTCTATACGTTCTTGCTATATTCAAATCGCGATACACGGTTGCCCGTGACGTTGCGACGTGAAATGCCAGCGATAGAAAGTTGAAAGTCCGAACTCGCTGACCAATCAAAATACGGGTGCATATATTTATCGTTCCCTAATCCTAAATCACTTTGCAGTAAAGCTTTAAGTTAAGTTTCTTTATCTATTCACATGTAAAAATGTCTACACGATATTATAATTCTTTAATTGTAACAAAAATAATTTTAATTAAAGAATACTAAAATATCGCCAGCCATTGAGAAACACTAACAATCAAGAATTATATATACTGATCACTTTACAAACACTTCCTTCTTTTATATTTTTATATCATTGTAGTATCGCCTTCTCTACATCCTCAACAATAAGAAGTCAAACGAGAACACGAAACGTAGGGTACATGTGTGGTCGTGTAGGTTAAGCGATCGAGTGTGAATCCGAGGATCGTGGGTTCGAATCTCCATGCCTTTATTTTTCATTTATACTCCGACATCGCTACTATTTCTGAAATAGTATTCCAGTATTATCTATATTTGGCTACAAAGAAAGAAGGGGTAGCGTTTAATCCTAAAGATAAATGCAAATTGAAATAGATCAAAGACCAAGCTTGGATCAATAAATATCAGGAGGAAGATGTATGAGTCAGAGTCTTACTCAAAGTTTATTGAAAGTGTTTATCGAATAAACACGTCGACGGAAAAGTTATATCGGAAATGTTGCTCGTTCTTCGTGTATTTTTCTCAAGTCGCGATAATCATTCCATTTTATTCGTGTAATTACGACGATAAGATAATAAAAAGATAATTCAATAATCCTTCGCGTATAAAATGTAAATGAGACACGCGTCGACGTGTTCACCCTGATTAAGTCTACCGCTACGGATTCGAACCAGTTTATTAACCTATGAATCAGCATATAAAGCCGTCACTTCATTTTTCATCTGAACACTGCTCCCGCGTATTTTTCTATTTTCAGTTTCCTGCTCGTTAGATTTACAAGTTGACCCAATAGCCTAGCGACGATGGTCCCGTGACATTCTGTAGAACATTTCTTTCCAGCGGACATCCTCTGTAAACCTAATTTTTGTTTAGCTTTCTTTTGTAAACAATTGAATTTCAAATGATCTTACGCAAAATAAAATCTTTGCAAACGTACCTACAAAAATTGAGCTTACATTCATTTTATCCTGCAAATATTATAATATAAACTTTACTTTCAATATTTTTTTGTATCATTGCATACTGTATGCATTTGGTAGTTTCTTGTATATCCAAATTTCCTATAAATGTACAAAAATCCGCAGTCCAGTAATTCACACTAATTTCAGCATTATTTGTGCATTTGTACCAGTAATGAATATAATTCGATTGATAAAGTAGATATGTAGATAATATAAAAGAAAATATTTGTATTACTTTTACACGTTCATTAAGCCATTGGCCATTTGCTATTCTCCACGACAAGTTGCTTTGTATAGATTGTGAGACACTTGAGAGAGACCACCTGAATAACTAATTTATTTTTGGCGATAGACAAAAATACTTGGAACAAATCTTGCTTGGTCTCGAGGAAGACATAATTTCTTAGCAATTATGTTTCGAACAGGTGTAATTGCAAACCATCACGTTTCCATAACAGATTTTTATACGATAATGAATTCTAATTATAAAATTATTAAGGTACACCTATCCCAAAACCAGAGTATTTTTATTTAATTTTAATTAACCTCGAGTACTTATCTATTACAGGTCATCGAACTCGTTCCACCTCGAACGTTTTCGAAAATATGTAAACCATCGAGGCCCTGACTCTTTTCCCACATTCAAGGCGAATTCGGTAAAAAGAAAACCTGGCAACTCCATTTAAAAAAAGAAGTTGACCTCCGTGAAACCTTTACACCTCTTCCTATAAATAAAACTATTGACGTCAGATCGTGTCACTCTCGAAATCACGCGAGATTTGTTCGAAACATTTTCGTCTATTACCAAAAGCGTGCTAGTTGTTCAGCGTGACTAAATACGTCGTTTGAAAATATTAGAGAGACCAGAAAGGTAACGTCGTTTATCATTTATCAGCTCATTGCACAGCGACTGATTTTTATCGATCAGGCATTGAAAATTTGCACGCTAGATAGCGAAAGGTTGTCGATAACGAGGGCGATGATATAATTAATTAAAAATAAAATCTTGTTATAAATTAATTTGTTTGAATTTACTCTAAAAGAAACGATACATCACGTACCTATGGCCTTCGTAGTTAAAGATTTAATCATAAAAAGAATACCTATTGCAATAAAATATTGTACAAAATGATAATCGAACTGAAGTCCCCTCGTTAGTAAATTTCTACAGTCTCGGACAATATTCCCAAATTGAAATAATTTCACATTCATTTTTCATTTTTGCATTATCTTTTTTATCGATGCGCGAATTCGAGCTCCCTATGGAAAAAAGTTTCTGCGAGCCGCCGCAGCTTCTCGAGGGTTACGCTATTCTATATTATCAGTCCCGTAATCTCCGGATACTGTAATTGGAAAAGGTGGCGCCCTAGTATCATGCGGTGCCCGCTGCCATTCTTATTCGACCGTGTAGTCACGTAGCATATTGCGTGCTCTAACGTGTCCCCGTGTTTCGTTCCTTTTTCTTTTTACTTTCATTACCATTATTACAGATACACGATGGACAACGTCTATTTAGCCTTGAATCTTTCGACACAGTTACCGGTTCATTTCGTGTACCTCGGCCGTTACTTTCAAGAATCATGAGAACTTCTGCCGTTACGGTTAGTCCCAGAAGTATTCGTACTACGTTTAATATTCGTCTACGTTTCGTTCGAAATATGTAGATAAATCGACTCTTACGCGTTTACGTACTTACAATGGAAAATTAATTTGCAAACGTTCTAATTTATCTAAATAAATCTATCGTTTTATTTAGATAAATTTCTTTGCTGG